TCGACTAATTATTTATTTTATTGATGATGTTCACATTAAAATTTTATTTATATCCACTTCATAAAAATAATTTATGTTGTTGATATATATGTGTCAACCTTTCAAAAATATCTCTATTGATTTTAATAATTTTATTCTCAGAGATAATTTTACATTTTCTGAACAAAAGATAAGAGATTTTATCTCAAAGTCGTCCATGAAACTCAATAATAAATAGTTTATATGGTCTAACAGATCCATACATCAGGACATGTAAATATATTAGGTTGCTAATGGTTTAAGCTCCACCTACACAATGCTATATCCAAACTAACCAAAGACAACCATTTAACCATCAAATACTTGACCTATAATAAAGCATCCTACAGGTCACAGAGAAAAACAAATCTGACCTCTTATGAATAATATAAGAGAAAAACAAACCTAATTAAACGGAGATGATTAGAAAAAGGGGAAAAGTTAAAATTATAGGGTGTCCCTTTCTTTATTAGACTTGGCTTATAAGCTACCCATATTAATTGCAAAAATTAAAAATTACATTTCTTTAAGGTCTTTGAAACCCATATCACGAGTCAAATGAATACCAATTTCATTTTAAAAGATACTAATAAATAAAATTTAAAATGATAATAAATATTATCTGACCTGTTAAAATTATTTTTATTGACTTTTTATAAAAAAATAATTTTGACCTTTTATCATTAAAAAATTATTGTTGATAAAAATCTAAAAAATATTTTAAAAGCTTTCAATGAAGTAGTTTTTAAATATGTGTTTTATAAATTTTAATTATTGAAAATAATTATGGTTTAATTTTTTAAAAAAAAATTATTAAAAGTCCATTGATATAAAAATATTGTTGTAATGTTATCTTTATATATTTTTATATAATATTTTAAAAAATAACTAAAAATATCTATGATTATTCATTAAATAAATTTTAAAATATATATTTTATATAAATGTATTTTTATCTGCATTATAAATAAGACATAATCTATTTTTTAAAAAAAAATTTAAATATCTTTTTAAGTAATCTTAAATGTTTACGAGATAATATCTATTTAATTTTTTTAATTATTAATAATACAAATCTGTTTAAATATAAAATTTTTAAAAATTAAGAGTAATACTCCTTATTTTAATTAAACTATTTATATATAAATAAATACAAAATATATATGAATTGCAAGATCACTATCATCCCATATAAAATTCACCGACTATTGTGAGGACCGTAACAGCCTACCTCAAAATTATTGCCGATATGTGCTCACGTGGACGGCTGGACGCCTCTTATTTGTTTCTTAGGTTGCCCAATTTGACCCTACCACACTGTACATCCAGCTGTGTCCATTTACAGCCAACAAAAGAACAACCTAAAAATAGAAAAATATTTAATATATTAGTTTATATATAATATATAATATATAATAGATGAATGCTTCCCCGTCATATTTAGTACCTGTCAACAGATCACACGCAATAATTAGTTGTCTTCCAGGTGGGTCCCCAATCCAGACTACGCTGAGCGCCACGATACGCTATCTATTTGTTTTTGAATTGTGAGATAATGTCCTACCAAGGCTTATAGCTTATATCTTTGGAAAATATTTAACGCTATAAAAGTAGTAAAAAAAATGTTTTAATTAAGGCTAAATTATACATATGGTTACTTTTGTTTTTGATCTGTTTTATTTTAGTCATTTAGTTTGAAAAAAATAATGTTTTGGTTATGTATATTATTGGCCTCTTATTTCGGTCTTATTTAGATCATTGAGTCATTAATTTAGATTAGTCTGACAACGTGAAAAGTTAAAAAAAATTAATCCCTAAACTTAAAAAAATTATTTATTTTTCATCATCTCCATAGAAAACCTAAAAGCATTTTCTCTTTCAATATATATATATATATATATATATATATATATATATATATATATATATATATATATATATATAATGAAACCTTACATCTTATTGTCTTTGCTACCGGCTTCAGTCGTAATATCTTTAACAAAAAGGATCTCTAAAAAGGTTGGGGAGCTATCTCGATTACCAAGACTCCAGCTGTAAACCTGCCAAGCGCATCAACATCGCTTTTATCGTTCACCTACGAGTGTGCAAATTACTGTTGAAAAACTCATCAATACCTTCTGCTTCACCACGTCGTGTGCAATGGTGGATTTATAATTTTTCTATGAGTTGGTAGACATGTATTAATAATATAATATTTTCGTATATGATTAAATGTAAATAAAATTTTAGAGTGGATACAATCATTAAAATAAATAAATAATAAAAAAATTAAGATTTCAATATAGACATTTGTCAACCCTAAAAACAAATTTCATTCGTCCATGAGTTCACAAATTGTTGCCGAAAACGCCTCAGACACCATATATTTCACCATACCATGCTCTGCCTTTTTTGTTCGCATGAGAGTTCACAAACTGTTGTTGAAAAACCCCTTGACACTATTTGTTTCATCACGTCGTACACCACCAATGTTCCTTTAATATCAAAATCGACAAACCCCTCGACTCATCATCCGTTGAGCCCAAAACCTGAATTTTAACACTATCACATCCTCTTCAATCTTTTTTTTTTGTTGGTTGTGGCTATCTTCATTTACCCTTACCGACAGCTCTATCGTTGTCCAACCTAAACATGGAGGTTAGCCCGTTGTAGTGGTTTTGACAATCTATGGCTGACGATGATGTATGTAGCTGTCATGTTTATATTTATGATGTGCATAAAGTATTGTAGAATAAAAATGTGCTGCTGAGCTCGTAAAGTTCAGTGTTTAGATATTTTCATTCGCAGATGAGTTCATGCTTCGAGTAATTCTGTAAATGTAATTGTTTTGATACACTTTATTTCCTATGGAGCTCCATATTTTTTGTACACATTTTCATTCATGATATGATTTATTATTTATATTTCTTATACTTATTATTAACATTTGATTAAACAGGTTTTTAAAAAAAATCATGTTCCTCCTGTGATCCAGTATGGCATCTTGGATCCTCTGGATTATCCAAGTCAAAATTAGGGTGGTACAATAGCAACAAGAATGAGGATTGGAATTAGAGGAGAAATTTTTTAGGATAAAGATGGTTTAGGTTTTTTATGGAGAGGGTTATTTTTTCTTTGAAAATTCAAGTTTTAATTTGAAATTAATTTTTTTTATTAACGTGTCAGGTCATCAAAGTAGCTGTAATTAATCATCAAATGATTAAAATATAACAAATCGATAACATATGAGATTAAAATGTTACTTTTTTTTTTGAATTGATAACCAAAATAAGATAAATGTTTAGGTGCGTGCATTCCATTCACAAGACCTAGGTCCGAATCTTCCAAATCTCGCTCATTTGTAATTTGTTTATCAAACCCTTCAATCTAATAGTGACATGTGTCACAAGAATTAAATTTACTGAATTACATTAAAATCAAAATCAAATCAAAAGAATATAAAAGTATTGAGGATTAAATATATAATTATACTAATTTTATTAACTATTTTATCAATACTTCTGTTAAATGTTGACAGAAAGTGATTTGATTAACACACTTAAATAGTTAAATGGTCTTGACAAAATTTAAAATTATGGTCAAAATGAAAATAAAAAGTAATTAAGTGATCATATGGATAGTTTACCCAAAAATATAATATTACACATAAAATGGCAAAATTTGGTACCAAATAGATATAGTTATTCTAAACTCTGTTTTGAAAATCGGATCGGACCGGTCGGTTCAACCGGTTCAACCGGGGACCGTTGCTTAGTCCGGTTCAATCTAAACCGGTTGAACCGTTATTAGTGAACCGGCCAGAACCACTGAACAGTTTGAACCGGACCGGCTGAAAACTGGAAAAAATCGGGAAAAACTGAGATTTTTGTTTTTTTTTATTTAAAAAAAATAAACCAAACAACATCGTTTGTTAAACGAGCCAAGTCGAACTCGAGTATTGCTGAGCTCGACTCGAACTTGAAAACTTTAAAAGTAAGCTCAACTCAACTAAAACTCATAAGCTAAAAATTATTAAGTTCAACTCAAACTCGAAATATAATATTGAAACTTGAACTCAAAAAGGCTTGAACTCAAAAAAAAATTAGAAACTCGATTGAAGCCTAAAATTCGAGCTTGATTGAAGTGAAAGAATAGTTCACTCAATGTTCACCAAAAGGCTCTATGATTTTGAATGCCAAATTACCTCTATTATTTATAGAAGTTAGTTGTGATGAGCTTCTATGTTTCTTAGCAATGTGAGATTGTTTTGTTCTCATATTTTTACTCTTTAGACTTTTGGATGCTCTTCTATGTTTCTTAGCTACGTGGGATTGTTTTTAAAAAAAAAATTAAACCAAACAATATCATTTTGTTATGCTTTTTTTAACCCCAAATTTATTTTTTAATTATAGTTATATAATTATATTTATTATTTAATATGTTTTACCTTAAATATTATGTTGTATTTAATTTGAATTATTTTGTTTCACTTGATTTTATTGTTTTTAACTTATATATGTTATGACTTGCTTTGAATATAACTTGTGATATAAAAAACTATTTTTTATTAAATATTTTTAGTATTTTTATTTAATTTTTTAAATAATTATGACGTCATCTGGTTCTTCCGACCGTTCAAACCAGTTCGACCAATTCAACCGATTGAACTAATAAACCGATAGTATAACCGGTTCGCTAACCGATTTAAAAACCATGATTCTAAATTTAACACAATTCTTACACAAGGAAAATAGCGGAGTAAATAACTTCAATAGACACACGGCACCTGTACCCTTGTTTTATTGTTTGATGCTTGTGGTCCCCGACATCCTTTATCCAACGGCTATATCCGGCCCATGTGATTGTGGGGTCCTTTTTTGTTTCGGTTCAGATCTGTCTAAACAAGTCCGCTTAATCATGATTACGATCGTCGCGATTCTTTTTCAATTATTTATACTCTCCCTGCCACTATTTTTCTTCACCTCAGTCTCAACTCTCAAAGAAAGAAGCCCTAAGAAGATTTTAAGAGAAAGATGGATCGCAGAAGAGCGTTTGCCGTTCTATTAATTTGCATTGTGGTAGCTGGTGTTGGCGCCCAAGCTCCGGGGGCTGCGCCCACTAAAGCTCCACCGGCAGCGGCTACGCCTGCCACTTCTCCAGTGAGTAAACCTAAAACCCCAGCTCCAACCGCTGCTCCTACTACTTCTCCACCAACTTCTTCACCACCTGCTTCTTCACCACCGGCTGCGGCTCCGGAGAAGTCTGCTGCGGCTCCAGCTCCATCTAAATCTGCTCCGGCTTCTTCACCGCCGGCTGCTACACCAGAAAGTTCTCCTCCGGCTCCAGTCCCCGTGATCTCTCCTCCAGCCAAATCTCCACCCGCTGCTGCACCGAAAACTCCTCCGGAGAGCTCCGCCTCTCCCCCTGCTGCGGTACCAACCACTGCTGAGGTTCCCGCATCAGCTCCAAGCAAGAGTAAGAGCAAGAAGAAGTCTAAGAAACACAATGCTCCCGCTCCTTCACCTGATCTACTTGGACCTCCAGCTCCACCTACCGGAGCTCCCGGACCTAGCCTCGACGCATCCTCTCCAGGCCCTTCCGTCGCTGCGGATGAGGTACATTTTACTCTCCTTTCTCACCACAATGCGTTTCACCATATATGAAAGTTTAGACTAGCTACACAACGTGATTTTATATCTGTGGCTCAAATCTATACTTAGGTTTCTGCTAATGAACCTCAGAATTTAGAATATGAACTGGGGCTTAAAATGGAGAGCTGATCTCGTTTTGGCTCCAACCAAATGAGTCAACGTAATCATAATTTACCTGCAATACTAATTTTGTGTAAATTGATAAAAAAAAAAACATTGCAGAGTGGAGCAGAGACAATCAAGAGCGTGCAGAAGATAATAGGAGGATTGGCGTTGGGATGGGCAGCCATTGCTTTGATCTTCTAGAGAGTGAGAGATTTAGCTTTGGTTGCTGCTTTATTCTATTTTATTAATTTATTTCTGAACCCTCACATGTGATATTATTGTATTCATTTTACTCGCTGGTGTGGTTTTACTCTGCCACATTTGCTTTGTAATTCTTTGGGGAAAGTTTGAGTTCCTTGTTTTCCTCTTCCATTGCTTTTATTCCTATTTGGATTTTGGACTATATTTGTTTTTAGGATTTCTTTTTCGTTCCCATTTTGTGATTTTTCTTTTTCACTTCGCTGTTGATTTATTCTTCGGATCTATTTATGATAAAAACACAAGTAGACTGCCATTTCTTCTTGGATTTCATCTACGACAATAATTTATGGTTTCTCATAGAGTTTAAACAAATTGCAAACTTTCTTTCCATTTATACAAAACAAGCCCAACACATCAAATATATAGGCCTTTGTAACAACTTAAACATATCATCCCTACAAGTAATCAATTTATTGGTTGGACTAACAACTTATTAGCTGACCCAAAGCTGAATTTGTTCAGTTATTTTATAACTTATTAACGACAAACAAAATATATGGTTACACAAACACCTTTCAAGAATGCATTTTTAGAATCCACCACTGGATAGTCACTGATAATGATAACTTAATTATAGGGTTAAAGGTTCTGCGAAGTTACACCTCGAAACTTGAGAATATCATTTTACTAGTAAGCAAGCTTTGAAGCAATTCATTAACTCATCTGAATTCTTCTTTAATTTGAATAGCCTTTTCCTTCTAATGGTTATTTTATCCGTTGGTAATTCAACTAAATCCCACGTGTCATTATCTCGTAATGCTTTGTACTTTGCCATTAATGCAACTTGCGAGTCATGATGCTATAGCGTATCATGCACATTAGTAGGAAATATTGTATAATGTATCTAATACACTTTGGGTTTGGGGATTTCAAACTTACTTCTGGTAATCTAAGAATGAGCGTTACTTGCAAGAGGTGAAGTAGCTATTGATTGTGACACATTCGTGTCCTGGGATCCTCCTCAATAGGTTCAACAATAGCAGGTTCCTATAGAGATATTGATGAATCCAGTTGGACTTCCTCACTAGGTTCGCCAACAACTGCAGGTAATGAACTCTCATAAGTTCCTTCAATTGCAGTAAGAACATTCTCATAAAATGTATCAGTAACAACAACTACTAATGGTGCTTGATTCCCTGGTGTGGTCAAACTCATATCGGAAGTAGAGGATGATAGCATCGATAACAAGGATGATTGAAAAAACTGTGACTTAGCGCCTGAGGTTGATGTATGAGCGTCAAATAGAAATACTACCTCATCAAACATCACATATCTACTAACAAACATTCTTCCACTGGTTTCTAGACATTGGTACCTATGTTGTTTAGGTGAATAACTTAAGAGCACACAAGGTTTATATCTAAAGTCGAATTTATGCTTGTTATAGGGTCATAAGTATGGATAACATTTGTAACTAAACAATCTAAGATGCTTGTAATCTGGTGTGTGGCCCGTGAATAACTAATGAAGTAACAGTCTGACCAATGTTTTTGAAGGTAACCTACTGTCGACACCATTTTTTCGCCCGGGCGGGGAAAAACTTAATACGACTTGGGGGTTTTCTTTTGAAAAGGTTTTGAAATGTTTTGGAGTCGTCATCGACCTTTTGAGTTAGGTAGTTCGAATACCTAAAAATTTTCTTTTAAAAGAATTTTTAAGAAAACATCATTTTAAAAGATAAATCAGTCTGCTTGTAACAGAGATTCATTCTTTTTGAAATAAAAAAGAGGTTCGGGGATCGATTACATGTGAGGAAGGATAAACACCCCCACAATGCCCAAAATTCGTACCCCATTGATTATAAATTGTCTTTAATAGTGGAAATCTAAGAAATCAAATATAAATTTAAGTTACGATCCTATTATTCCAAATTCAACTATGCAATTTTTATTTAACGAAAAATTCTAAGGATAAATAGAAAATATTCTAATATTTTCAATCGAAGAGAAAATAATCCCTAAAATACTTTAAAACGAATATTTCTCTTTCAAACTGAAATAAAAAGAATATAAGAATTTCTCATAAGAATTCGAGATTAAAATAATTTGATTCAACCAAATAAAAACCAATTAATCCAAATTACAGATTTAATTCGAAAAGATAAGGGATGTTCAATTATTTAAAAATATCTAGAGTAAATCTGTAATATAAATTAGACTAATTATCTCGATAAGTTTAAATAGAAGAACATTCCCTTTTCCCTTTAATCTTGATTTAATTTAAGCATACTTGATTATTTTAGGTTATTCTAGTGGTTTATTTATTTATTTTAAAACATCGGAAAAAGACATCTAGTTACTTTAAGACCGCCCCTTCATAATATTTTAAAATAAATAAATATTACCCTTAATCTAATTATGTAATCGGTTGAGTTATGCTTATGAGGCTTTTGTATATATTCATGTGACAAAAATGAAACGGACAGAAAATAAAGTGCAATAATCAAAGGACTAACTTTAAAGAAATTAAAATTAAAGACAAAAATTTAAAAACTACTGAATATGAAAGGACTAAATTAAAATAAATTAAAATGTAAAGCTGAAATTAAAACATAAATTAAAAGGACAAACATGAAAGAAATAAATAAAAATAGCACCAAATTGTATTAAAAATAAATAACAAAAAACATGAATGACCAAAATATAATCAACAAAAACCAACATGCAAAATTAAAATATAACAAAATGCAAATATGACTGAAATGTAAACAAATAAATATGCATGTCCAAAATTAAAATAAAATAAAGTGCAAGTGTGACCAAAACATAAACAAAATGACATTAATATGCAAAATTCGAAACAATAAAAAAACAAGTGAACTAGTGAATAAAACAAAAGAAACAGAAAGTAAAATGTCAAAATTAAAACAAATAAAGCAGAGAATATAACATGTTAGTGACTAAATTGAAACAAATGCAAAAATAGGATCTCAAAATCAAATGATAAAATAAATGATGAAATGGTGGCTAAATTAAAATAAATACAAACAAAGTGTCATAAATAACATAAAATAAAATACAAAAATGACCAAAATAAAACAAAACGTAATATGGAGCTTAAATCAAAACAAACAATAAAAAATGAATCTCGTGACCTAAACATAAAACATGAGAAACATATAGGGACTAAAATGAAAATAACCCCAATAATATATAACAGGCATAGAAAATGGGAAAACTACAAAATCAATCCCTTTAGGTGACCATTTTATAAAACACGCCAAACTTAGGAGGATTTAAAGTGTAATTTCACCCTAAAGTTTTCTTATAAATACCATTTTCTTTTCTTTTTTCTTTTTTCTTTTTCATTTTTTATTTTAAATTTGATTTTAGAGGGAGAGGGTCTCCACTCTCTCTAGAAAATCAGTGAGCATCTGGTGGTACCTTTTCTGGTCGCCGTGTTGACCGTCGCCGTCATCACCGTTGGTGGTCGATGGCCACCAAATTACACCAGGAGCTCCGTCTCGGCCTCCCCGTCTAAGATATAGGGTTCGTTTTACGAGAGGAGGCACCGTTCATCGCAAAATAGTCGAAGATCGTTCGGCTTTCTTCTATCCGATCTGCCGACGTCCACCGTTGGATAGCCACCATTTTTCAGAATGTTGGTCGTGGTGGTTTGCTCTCCATCTTCACTATTTGGATCGTTGAGATGAGGCCCTGACAGCCAATGAAACTCCGGCCGAACGTAAGAAACTCTTTTTAGTCTTTCGTTTGTTTTTATTTTCGATTTTGTTCTTTGTTGCGTAAGAAAGTAAAGAAAAAAAGAATTCTCAAACTTTTTTTTGTTTTTATTGTTGATCGAATAAAGGGAGGAAGATCCTCCATTTACATTATTTTTAAAAAATCCCTGGATCCCCCTATATTTTTTACCGAAAAAAATAGGAACCCGATAGCCCTCTTTCCTTCCCCTTTCTGATTCGGTTCCCCCTTTTATCTTCTGCCTCCTTAGATTTATGATGGCTTTTTGGTGATGATGATAGACTTAACATAGGGTTGATGATGAGTGATGAGTGTGTTGCAGGCGCAGAGGCATTAGAGCAGAGGAGCAAGCGGCGGTGGCAGGGTATGACCCTTTTCACAATTAATTTATGCAATATATTTTTTTGGTAAAAAATTGGTGCATACAACTTCCCCTCTTTGCTCGTTGCTGTGGAACATGAATTGAGCAAAGACATAAAGTACCAATTTTTATCAATTCGGCCCATCAGTAAAACTTCGAGCTCCAAGTTTTTCTCATCGAGTGAGTTCTTATCATTATGAACTCTTCATTGGGGATATTGATACCTCGAATGCGGTGTTGTTGATTCAACTCCATATATAACATCCTCAATACCGAGTTAGTAATTAAATTGTAAAACTTAAGAAGTTTGTGACTAAAGTAGAATAATTGAATAGTTCAAGGACTTATATGGGAAATGTTATGTAGGATCAAATTATAAAGAAGGAAGAATTGAAGGACAAAATGGTAATTGTCAAGGAATAATTAAATTGTTATGGTTATATATATATAACCCACGTGGAATGAAGAGGGAAGCACACCAAAGTTTCCAGAGTTTTCCTTTCTTCATCTTTCTTCATACGTGAGAACCAAGCCAAAGGTGAGATTTATTGTTAGTTAATTCTTGATGAATTTAAGGTTGGTTTATGATCATTAGATGATAACTAAGCTTAAGGAAAGCTTAAGTTATCTTAAAATCAAAAGATGATGGAGTTAGGAGAGATTAAAGATTAGGAGTTCTTGAATGAAATTTTGGAATAGAGTTCATAGCTAGAATTGGAAGTTAAATTTAACTTGTCATCAATCTAATTAAGACGTATGAAGTGTTAGAATTGGAATTAGAACATGTTGAAAAGTTGGTATAATTCTTGAATTACTTATGGAGGATATGATTTTGAGGTTAAAGAGGTGATTAATGAGTAGAAATGAGTTTGAGTATGAGTAGGTGAGTTAAGAATATGTGAAGGGATGAAATATGAAGTGTTTGAGCTGAAATGAAGTGATTTTCGTGCTTAAAATGTGATTTTCTGGGCTAGGGGTATTGATACCCATTCAACAGGTACCGATACCTCAAGAGTAAAATTCAGGAAGATATTTAAAAAGGTACCGATA